TCATCATCATCATCATCATCATCATCATCATCATCATCATCATCATCATCATCATCATCATCATCATCATCATCATCATCATCATCATCATCATCATCATCATCATCATCCTTTTCATTCATCGTTTAGCATTCAGCATCAGCGTCAGCATTAGCGGCATCAACATCAGCATCAGCATCATCAGCATCAGCATCAGCATTCAGCATTCAGCATTCAGCATTCAGCATCAGCATCAGCATCAGCATCATCAGCATCAACGTCAGCATCAGCATAGGCATCAGCATCAGCATCATCATCATCATCACCATCAGCATCATCAGCAGCATCATCACCATCAGCAGCATCATCATCATCATCATCAGCAGCATCATCCTCAAAGTCTGGGGCCGTCCGCTGCGCCTGTGCGCGCCACCGAGGCACTCCACGGGCCACCACGCGGCCCCTCACGGTCTGCCGTCACCCTCCGCCGGCAGCCAGGGCGCGCGCCCTCCCCTGCCACGAAGGGGAAGGGGAGGAGGAGGAGGAGGAGGAGGAGGAGGAGGAGGAGGAGGAGGAGGAGGGAGGAGGAGGAGGGAGGAGGAGGAGGAGGAGGAGGAGGAGGGGAGGAGGAGGAGGGAGGAGGAGAGAGAGAGGAGGAGGAGGAGGAGGAGGAGGAGGAGGAGGAGGAGGAGAGGAGGAAGGAGGTGGAAGGGGAGGAGGGGGAGGGAAAGAGGCGAGGAGGAGGCGGAGGAGGAGAGGGGGGGGAGGAGGAGGGAGGGGATGAGGACCGCCCCTGACCTGACGGGCCATGCAGTGGCGTAAGGCTGTTTGGCGCCGCCCGCCTCTGGACCGCAACACATGCGGTTGCGCAAGCGACATCTGCGGCCGGAAGCCTTCTGTCCGCTCTGGTTTTGTCGAGGAGGGGGAAGAGGAGGAGGAGGAGGAGGAGGAGGAGGAGGCGGAGGAGGAGGAGGAGGAAGAGGAGGAGGAAGAGGAGGCGGAGGCGGAGGTTTAGGAGGAGGTCTGCGGGGGATCGCCGCGCCCACGAGCCTTCGCGCGAGACCTCTGCAGCCAAAGCCTCCGGCTAGGTCTCGCCTCTCGGCCCTAGAGGGCCGCCTTCGGACGTTGGTGGCCCCTGCCGGGAATCTCGCGGAGGCCTGCGGGGACCTCCGCGGAGACCTCCGCCCTCACATCCGGCGCCCCAGCTTTGTGCGGTGCGTGGGCCCCCCTGGAGGCCTGGGCCGCTTCTCTGTAGAGGGATGCCGGCGTCTGTACCCCTTCGGTCGTTGGTGGACGGCCCTGGGCCCGCTGGGGGCACCCAGGGGCCGAAAGCGGTCCAAAGACCGGCCGCTTCAACTGCGGCAGGTTCGCGTCGCGTCGACCCCAGCGCTGGTTCCTGACACCGCGGGGATCGTGCAAAGTGGAACGAACGGCCGCTCCCTTGGCGCCGGATCGCTCAACGACGGGCCGACTCTGGGCCACGGGCGGCGTCCATCCTCAAACGCACGCGCTGGAGCCGCCGCCGGTCGGCACGACGCGAACCCGCGGTACCCTCGGAGCCTCGGACTTTGGAGTGGGCACCCTTGGGCGCTGCGTAATGGGGGGATCGTAAATGGGGGGGCGGCGAGTGTGGCCCGAAAAGGTACCCAAATGGTACCTAAACGAGCCCCCATGGGGCCCTGGAGGGCCCCTTTAGTAAAACGTGGTTTAGTTGAATCGACCTGAGACCCAAACCTGGCGGGCGCAAAGCTGGAAAATAACGGCCACGGCGCCCACTCGAGAACCGAAAACGGACAATTCACTGATCGACGTGTCACTGTTGGGGGCTCTGTCCACCCCCGAGGGGAGGAGGAGAAGGAGGAGGAGGAGGAGGAAAAGGAGGAGGACGAGGAGGAGGAGGAGGAGGAGGAGGAGGAGGAGGAGGACGAGGAGGGGGAGGAGGAGGAGGAGGAGGACGAGGAGGGGAGGAGGAGGTGAGGAGGTGGAGGAGGCGGAGGAGGAGGAGGAGGAGGGGGAGGAGGAGGGGGAGGGGGTTCTGTCCACCCCCGACATTACGCCACGCCCAACACCCGCAGGGGCTCGGGGCTCCGGGGGCGGGAGCGCAGCTCCCCGGCAGGCCCCCGGAGGAGCGCCCGCGCCCCTCGCAGGCTGGAGGAGGGGCGCCGTGCGCCGGGGAGGCCTGGCCCGCGCCGTTTCCGCGGCCTCCACCTCCTCCTCCTCCTCCTCCTCCTTTTCCTCCTTTTCCTCCTCCCCTTTTCTCATCCTCCTCCTCCTTTTCCTCCTTTTCCTCCTCCTCCTCCTCCTCTCCTCCTCCTCCTCCTCCTCCTCCTCCTCCTCTTCCTCCTCCTCCTCCTCCTGCTCCTCCTCCTCCTCCTCCTCCTCCTGCTCCTCCTGCTCCTCCTTCTCCTCCTCCTCTTCCTCCTCCTCCTCCGTAGCCATGTTGGCTTAAGTTCCACCGTGGCTCCGGGCGATGGAGCTTGTACGCAGCCGAGGGGCAGACTCGGGGGCCCCCACAACATTTCACGTGTCGCTCGCCTGTGTCAGCCTGTCAGAACGGCCCAGGCCTCGCTGTCCGTGGTCCGGCCCACGGACGGCCGCTGTCGTAACGCTTACTCCGTCCCTCGTCGGCTCATGGGGCCAACAGCCAGGCAGGATGAGGCGTTCCGACGGGGTGGTCCAATCCAGAGCGGGCACACTCGTCAACGGGTTGCTTGGGCGAAGCCTGCGTACTGTAAGCACTGCTGGTCGTCGTCCACGGGTGATCGGTGGTGGAACAGGGCTGACATGTACAGGTGCCAGTTGTGTGAGGAGCACAAAGGCACGACGTTCGGCGGTATAAAAGAACAGTTAGATCAGCCTCCCTCCAAAAGCATCGCATCTTGCATCGCTCGAGAATTCCACGTGTGCCGAGCTCATGCAGGCTCGGGAGCAGCTGCGAGCCCGCCGGGCTGAGTTGTGCAAGCAGCTGACAGCCAGCGCTTCTCCTCACGGGCCCCTGGCCGAGCTGCTCGAGGCCGAGCGGCCGGCGCCGAGGGCGACCCCCGCAAGACTCGGCCGCCAGGAGCACCCTGACGGGCGACGAGCTCGGGCCCCTCCAGACGCGGCTCCGAGCGGCAGGCCAGTGGGGTGGGGACGGCCGCAGCTGCGACGGCGGCCCCCCGGTGGCAGGGGGTCGCGAGGCGGCGTGGCGGTGCTGTGCCCCACGAGCATGAAGATGGCGCTCCAGCAGGGGTGCTCGGACAGTCCGGGGCGTGTGCAGGCTCTCAGACTTCAACATCCAGCCAGTTCCGCTGAAGTCCTGGGCAGCAGCCATTTGGGAAGGGCGGTTGCGTCACCCTCTCCTGCTTGCACGCAGAGCCTGCCTGGGTCGGTGATTGACTACTTTGCGATGAATGAGAACATGGCCATCCGTGCTACGGTGCCGGAGATGCGTCTCACAGTAAAGCTCTCGCCGCATTGACCCGTCGCTGTGCAGACGCGTGGACCAAATACTTCCATGTGGACCCGAGTGCCGCGCCAACCGCAGACGGTGCCAGTGGTTGCGCAACCTGGCTGCGCTCGCTATCTCAGGGAGTGGTCAGACTTCATTCGCGACGTGGCGTTGGCAGGCGCGGCGGACGAGCTGGCGGTTTCTTGGGGTCGATCTATCGCTGGAGCCGAACAAGAACTGGTAGACAAACATGATTCGATTGGATCCGTGATGAGGGAGTTGGCGAGCAGGGCCGCATGACGTTGACTGGCAGCAGGCTGAGACGGTGGTGAGCACACGTCTGCCGCGAGCTGACGCGGCCTCATTACTCTGCCTGGAATTCGGCGGCGCGCTGGGCGCGACGGGTTCGCAAAGTGAGCCACGCCCTCTCGACGTACACCCCGAAGCCCAGCGAGGAGGGGGACGAACAGCGGCGCCGACTGGAGCGAGTGGGGCAGCTGCTGCACGAGGCCCCGGCCTCCGCGCGCAGCGCGGCGAGGCAGCGGACGGCGCCGCTGGAGCTCGGCCCTCTGACGCGCACGGCCTCCCTGTGTGGAGCGGCCGTCGTGGCGATCCAGCGACCGACGACCCGATTCAGCGAACCCTGGACCAGGCCGGGGCCCGCCGGGCCAGCTTCCCTGCCCAGAGGGAGGCCTCTCGGAAGGCCTGGGTGCGGGACAGTCTGCTGGGCTGTGCTCGGGAGGCGCATCGGCTGTCCAGGGTCCGAGGGCTCCAGGAGACGATGGGGTCCACCGAGCGAGCGCGGCCAAACGAACTGGCTGGCGCGACCTGCTCTGAGTGGGCCAGCGCCTGGTCGACCCACGACCGCCGAGCGCCCGAACTGCCGGTGCCGCCCGGTTTCGCCGACTGGCCGTCGCGTCCGACGATCGCGACTTCCGACGCGCGAGCTGCGATCGCCAAGCTCCCCGGGTCATCCGCCCGCGTTCTTTGCAGTGTCTTGCGGATGCCTTGCTCGCAGCAGTGGCAGCCCTCCTCATGAGATGCGAGAGGGGATGCTGCTGGCCAACGAAGCGGGTAGTCAGCCGCCTCGTGCGTCTCGAGAAACCCGACGGGCTCCCGCCTTCGTGTCTCGTGCCGGCTGCGCAGGCCCGAGACCGAAAGGTTGGAGCTCGCCGCCAAGACTGACGAGCGTTTGGGGGCGGGTAGGGAGAGGAGCTCGAGTGAAGTGAGTCGGCCTTCGACTTGAATCTCGCAGCGGAGATTGCGAAGGCTCGAAATTTGCATTATGTGTCAGTGCTGCTAGACATGATAGCCTGCTACGAGATGATGGAACTTCCTGTGTTGTTCCAAGTTTTTCGGCAGGTTGTTTTTCCGCTCAGGATGGGGTGGATGCTCATCCAGAGCTACCTGGCCCCGAGACGGGTCGATGGGTCCCCGACGGAAGCCTGAGTCAGCTTTCAAGGCATACTTGCAGGCTGCTCGGCGGCATCGGCGCGGATGCTAGCGGCGCTGAGTCAGCCGGCGCACACTGTTATCTCTCGTTTCCTATTGGTGAGAGCGCGGGCCCTCATGGACGATGTTTCTGTACAGTGGGAAAGGTCCGACAAGAACGCGGCTACGATTGTTTTCGCCGCAACCCGTGAGCTGTGTCGGACGGTCGCCCCGTTTGGTCTCCTGTTGCAGCCCAACAAGACAGGGTATGCTGCGTCGAGCGTGGCCGCCGAGAGCAATGTCGCCTCGGCTGGCCGCTCGATCGGTTTTCGGCATAAGAAGCACATGCGGAGCATGGGGCATGATCTACACGGTAGACGTGCTTTGCGTGTGATGGAGACTCGACGCCGGAGGCAGTTGGACCTCAGAAGGCAGCGCTTATGCCACGGAGCCGCAATTTCGGGCGTCACCGACGCCACTCTCCGCAACCTTCGCTCGCTGGCAGCGTCTCTCATGGACGCTAAGAATAGCAGCCATGTCATACTCAATTTATTTGAGTACGCACCGTGACCCTCGTACGCTCCTGCGCACGACGCGGCAACCCCGCTCGGTTTTAGCTACAGTTGTTGGATCTTGGACAGCTGTGC